AAAGTTGGAGGCATCTACATCCTGATTTCAAATTATACAACAAAGCTATAGTAATCAAAACAGTATGATATTGGCATAAAAAACAGATACATAGATCAATGGAACAGAATAGAGAGCCCAGCAATAAACCCAAGTATATACAATTAACTAATTTTTGACAAGAGCACCAAGAGGACACAATGGAGGAAAGATAGTCACTTCAATAAAGGGTGATGGGAAAACAGAAAATCCACATGCAAATGAGCGAAATTAGACCCTTATCTTACAACATACACAAAAAGTCAACTCAAAATAGATTAAAGACCTATATTAAGATCTGAAGCTAAATAAAACTTCTAGAAGAAAACATAGGGGGAAAGCTCTTTGACATTGGCCTTGGCAATGATTTTTTGAATACCACACCAAAAACTCAGGCAACAAAAGCAAAAATAAACAAATGGGACTACATCAGACTAAACGTCTTCTGCTCAGCAAAGAAAACATCAACAAAATGAAAAGACAGCTTACAGATAGGGAGAAAATATTTGCGAAACATATGTCTGATACGGCGTTAATATCCAAAATATATAAGGAACTCATACAACTCAACAGCAGAAAAACCAAATAACCTGATTGAAAAATGGACAAAGCTGGCTGGGCATGGTGACATGCACCTATAGTCCCAGCTACTCGGGTGGCTGAGTTGGGAGGATCACTTAAGCCCAGAAGTTCAGGGTTACAATGAACTATGAAAGTGCCACTGCACTCCAGCCTAGGTGACAGAGTGAGACCCTGTCTGCAAAAAAGGGAAGGGGGGCAAAGCAACTGAATAGATATTTCTCCAAAGAAGACATAAAAATGCCCGAAAGGTATATGACAAGGTGCTCAGCATCACTTATCACCAGGGAAATTCAAATCAAAACCATAATGTGATATTACCTCAAATCTATCAGGATGGTTATTATCAAGAATATAAGAGATAACAAGTGTTGGTGAGGGTGTGGAGAAAAGGGAACCCTTGTACAGTGTTGTTGGGAAAGTAAATTGGTACAGTCATTATGAAAAACAGTATGGAGGTTTCTCAAAAACCTAAAAATAGAACTACCATGGGATTCAACCGTCCCTCTGTTGGATATATACCCAAAGGGAATGAAATCAGCATCTTGTGGAAATATCTGCTCTCCCACGTTCATTGCAGTATTATTCATGATAGCCAAGATACAGAATCCACCTAAGTACCCATCGACTGATAAATGGATAAAGCAATTCTGATATATGTATACACACACACACACACACACACACACACACACACAATAGAATATCATTTATCCTTAAAAAAGGAGATATTGCCATTGCCATTTGGGACAACATCGGTGAAGCTGGAGGATAAGTGAAATAATCGAGACACATAAGGAAAAGTACTGCATGATTTCTCTTATATATGAAATTTTTAAAAGAAGTTGAATACGTAGAAAAGTGTGGATTGGTGGTTACCAGGGGTGGGGAGAGGGGAAAATGGGAAGATGTAGGTTAAAGGTAAAAATGTAGGATGAATGAATCTAGAGGTGTAGTGTACAGCAGGAAGACTATAGTTAATATTGTATTGTCTACTGGAAATTTGCTAGGAGAGTAGATTTTACGTGGTCTTACCATATACACATAAAAAGAACTATGTGAGATGATGAATATGTTAATTTGCTTATCTACTAACCATTTCACTCTGTATATGTATATCAAAATATCATGTTGTACACTTTCAATATATGTAATTTTTTTAAAAAAAAGGGAAAAACTACCAATGAATAAAATGGAATTAAAAAAAAATCATTTATCTTTGTAGAGTTGAACCACCATAGGAGTTTATATTGACATGCCTCTGAGAAGGTGCAAGGTACTTTGCACTGTTTTACTAACCCTTTTGGTTTGGTGGGGCCAGCACTCCCACCCTGTGTTTACATAATAAAAACTAAGATTACACTGAAGGTATCTTTGCCTCACTGTCTTTCTTTTTCTTTTTTTTTCCAATTGCCTAACCAAGTTGCTCGGGGAAAGTTATGTTGGTGCTGGGATTCAGCCCTTGCCTGGACAGAGGTGGACATTAGAGTCATTAGCGTGGACATTGGCACCAGTGACTACACAGGTCCTAGGATCACAGCAGTGGCCTGGGGTGCGCACCATGCATGGCCAGTCAGGGGAGAGCTGGGCTCTCCCACACCCTGCGGCAGCTCAGAAGTCCCAGAGTGGGCACAGGAGTCCTCATGCCTGGCTGTCCAGAAGGTCAGTACCTGCTCCTCCCTATGAGCTGAGACCTGCACCTCCCCTGCCAGCACTCTGGGCTGGCCAAGGACCTAGATTTCCACCTGCAGCCAGAGAAGCTTCGGAGCTCAGGCCCTGCCCAGCAGAGCCCTGGAGAGAGAGCAGGGCTGGAAGATAAACATCTCAGCCAGTGGGGCTGTGCAGGTAGCCCGGAGGCCTCTGGCCTCCTCAGATAAGAACCAGAGGCACAGCCACCTCAATTTGAAAACAATTTAAGATATATCACACTAATTAGAGGGGTCTGCAGGCACAAGACCTGACTAGATTTAGATCCAGTGGGTTAACACAAATCGGATGGTTGAAAATGAGGATTTCACATGAATAAAAATTCAACCCCATGTAAATAAAAATACAACCTCATGATATGCACTTGAGCAGTTGCTGGGATTTGTTTTGTTTTGTTTTTTACCTTCAGGCTGTGGATATTTCCCTTCATCAGATATTGTTTCTGACAAGGGAGAATGTGGGTAGGGCTACTGACTCTTTTTATTCGCTTAAAATCACTGTAATTTGCTAAAGAAGGTTGAATGAGCCTTACAGTTTTTGTTAAAAAAAAAAAAAGGCAGATCTGAAATGAATGGCTTCATTTAATGAAGACACTAAAGAACTAATACCACCCAGACCACCCGGATCCCAGCTCCAGTGGTTCCTGAAGAACTTGGCCTCCCATCCCTTTCTGAAGGCAAAGTTTCATCTTGCAATTATGGGATTCCTTTGTTTCTTTAACGCTACTAAAGCACCTAAAGCATGGGCCCATGGCCTCAGCAGAGGGGAATCACCTTCAGGTAGAGAAAGTAACACTCGCCCCTGAGAGCTTTGCAAAAGACACACACTGCAGTCACACTGCAGGCCATAAAGCTGTCTGGTTGGAAGCAGGTAACAGGTGAGGGGCCCTGGGCAGGTAACAGGTGGGGCAGAGGGCACCCAGCACTGTTCTGCGGTGGCTCACAAAAGGGGCTACCACAGGGGACTCCACTGTCATTACCAGAGGCCGACCAAAGCTATTTTGCAGGAAGAGACCCATGACTGTTTGGATCTTGAAAAATGTAAGTGTCCCTTTCTCCCCCCCCTGCCCCCAAAGGCAGCCACGAGAGTCTGAGGCCGGCGCCTGTGGGAAGGCGGCCCTCCGCCTCACAATGAGCCACCAGGTCCCTGAAGTACCATGTTGAATTTCTCAATCTAACATTGTTTAGTTTGGAGAAAACATTTTTTCGGTCCTGAAAAAAAAAAAATCACTGTGGTTTCTCTCCTACTCCCACCCTCTGTAATCGCCGCTTACAAGAAAGAGTTTCACCATTTTCCCATAAAACCAAAAAAATGAGGATGCTGGGCAGACATTCTTTGTTTCTTTGCTTCCATCTCCCTCTGCTCCAGGCAGTGCTGTCTGCCCGCTGTCCCTGCACCTCCTCCCTCCGTGCAGGGCCTGCCCCTTCTCCTTGGCAGACTTCCTTTGCAGAAGCCAGCTCAACCCCCGTAAGTCGTGCCACAGCAGATTAGAGGTAGCCCAGGTCCTCCTGCCTGCACGGTGCCGGGACACCCTCTACCATTGCAGGCCCTGAGCCCCAGGTGACGGGCCAGTGCCAGTCTGTGGCCTGTTAGGAACCAGACTGCACAGCAAGAGGTGAGCAGCGTGCAAGCGAGGCAAGCTTCATCTGTATTTACAGCCGCTCCCCATCGCTGGCATCAGCGCCCGAGCTCCGCCTCCCGTCAGATCAGCGGCGGCATTAGATTCTCGCAGAGCGCAGACGCTATTGTGAACTGCGCATGTGAGAGATGCCGGTTGTGTGCTCCTCATGAGAATCTAACGCCTGATGAGCTGAGGTGGAGCTGAGGTGGTGATGCTAGCCCCGGGGAGCGGCTGCCAATGCTGATTATCGGGAGCAGAGAGGTTTGACTGCACAGTAAATGTAGTGCACTTGAGTCATCCCCAAACCATCCCCCACCCCATCCCCATCCATGGAAAAATTGTCTTCCAGGAAACCCGTCCCTGGTACCAAAAAGGTCGGGGACCACTTGCTCTACCACATCCCAGGCTGGGCCTGACCAGCAGCGAGGAGTTCACTGCTTCCTCCCTGCAGCCACCCCTGATTGTCCTGCCTTCTGCTTTCCTTCCCGCCGTCACCCCTGTTCCGCCCCCACCGTGGCCACTTTGTCACGCTTTGTCACTCCTCAATTCACCCACCAACCAACAGCTCCTGGGCTCCCACGAAGGATCCATTGCATTATGCAATGTCATGTTGCACCTGCCCCTCTGTAAGTCTCCTGACGTCAGTTCACATGCGTAGGCACGCCGAGGGCTTCTCTCCTCCAAGGCGTGTTGTCGACGACTCCTGTCCTCTCTACTCCCTTTACCAGGGTGGTGGCAGGAGTGAGTAGCACATTAGTCAGACTCCTGGGTTCTCTTCAATGCTTCTGCTACTGACTCACGGTGTGAGTGCGCACAAGTCACTTCCCTCTCTCAGCCCTAACTTCTCCAGCCCTAACACGCTCTCTGTGCATCTGAAAAGAACACAGCTGGCACGAATGGGATGTCCTCTATACAGAGGGTGACTCCATAATTCGTTGTCCAACTTTCACTTTCGAAAGCAACAGAGGGTGTTTTCATAATTATGCCGGGACGGGCTTAAACAGGTTTGTCCCTGGCAAACTCCGGGGTGTATGGTCCATGCCTGGTTCTGGGATCTCAGGTGAAAACAGGGAAGGGGACAGGAATCCCTCCGCTTAATACCCCCCAACTCGTGGAGAGAGAATAACAGCAGCTTGCTGACGTCTGGGCTGTTAGGTTTGTTCTAGAGGAGGGATGAGAAATTCAGACCATCTTTCATACATTTCTAACCAGAGTGCAAAAATCGTCAGACACAACCCTTCAACACCCACGGGGTGATCTGAGAAAATGCGGGGTGAAGCTGGAAAAAGCTGTCACAGTGACCAAGAAGGCTCTGCTCATGGTAAGTCCCAGCCTCAAACATTATGCCATGCACTGCCCTTCTGCAATGTAAACCATCCCGATATCGGGCATTGCCTATTTCAAGTGTCTACATTAACAGCTGGCCAGGTGGATTCGGTTGAACCCAGAGGAAGGGCTAACAGGACCCCAGCATGGCTGTAAGGGGTCTTAGTATTTTCTGAGAATTCAGTTGGAGTTTGCATCCAAGAGCTGCATCCAGGCCCTCAGCAATCAGGGCCCGACTGAACCCCTTCTGCTGGGGAGGACTGTCTGGGCAGGAACAGAGAGCCAGCACGCAGCTCCGGGCCACAGTCAGGAATCGGCAGAAATGCAGCCACCCAGGCTTGGCTCAGAAACCAGATACCAGGCACGGGGCAGGAATTCGCCCTTGGGAAGCTGTTGCTTAACTCCAGTTCCTGAGGCTGCCTGCCTTCTCGACAAAGGCCAAGCCACTCAGGGATCCCGGAGAGGCAGGGCTGGCCAGCCAATGCCAGCTCATGCAGGGTGAGCCCGGGGCTGGGAGGAGCCCAGGCAGACCTTCAGGATGCCAGCACCGGCACAACCCCAGGGGCAGGCAGGTCTCTGCAACTCCCGTACGTCTCTATATCCCATGTGGGAAAAGCGCAGGTTTCCCAAAGGCCATTGATCAAAAGGCCCAAACTGTCTTTGGCCTGGGTCTAACCTAGCTGGGACGCCTGTGGATCCAGGGTGACACTGGGCTGTCGCAGGCCTTGCTGGGAGTGAAGAGAGGTTTGGCCACACCTGGGCCCCCAGGGGATTCAAGGTCACAGGGACCTGTGGAACCAGCAGGCCCCTAGGTGTAGAGCTGGCATCTGTGGTCTTCCAGGCAGCCCCGCTGACACCTCGAAGGTTTGCTCCATCACGACAAGGAAGGGGAAGGGGAGAAAGGTTTGCTCTAGTAACAGAGAGGGGGAAGAGGGAAAGAATAGAAGAATAGGGGAGCATTGTCTGATTGCATTTATTTTTTCATTTATTTTTTTTTCTTCTAAAATATAAACTGAATCAGAAATGCCCGCAGGAACACACAGGTGTTTCGATCGTCGGCCCACTGAGTGGGCGACACAGCTGATCTCTGCTCTGCCCTGCACACTGGCGGCACTTGAGCATCCTGTAACAACCCCTCCACCGCGGCAGGGCAGCCTCTACAGGCTTGGTGACATTCATCAGGGCTTCCTTCTTATGAAAAATGCACAGGCTGCAGCAGCAATTTGGAAGGATTAACTCTGAGCAGAGAACGTTTCTTCGTTCTCCAGCAACCCGCATACAGCACCCCACGTCTCGAGGCATGACAGAGACGAGAGGGAGCAGGGTGTCCCAGGTGGGGCTGAGAGAGGACAGAGCCGGGCTGTCTCTGATGAATGAAATCCCCCAGAGTGCATTTCCCCCCCGGAGTGATTCTGCTGCTGTCAACTGTCATGGTAAACAATTGAGTATGCACTTTAGGAACTTGGGGCGTTGAGGTCACTTTGATTTCTTGTCACTCTGCCCCAAATGCAGAAGCTCAGTGGACAAGCTACTCCCAAGGGGTGACAAACAGCTTAGACATTTCTAGAAGGTAAAAGTTGGTGGATGGGGGCGGTCAGAGAGGCAAGAGGGGGAAGGAAGAACCGCTCCTCCTCATTACCGTCCAGTTTTTAAAACTCAAGTTTTTTCTCTTAGTTCCTTCCCTTGGTTTTGAGGCTGCCCAGAGAGACGCAGGGAAGGCTTAGCACGTGGAAGCCCAGAGGTTCCGGCCCAGGGCTGAAGGGCTGCAGATTCTCCAGTGAGTGAGAACGAGTCATCGCTCTAGGCCTCTTTCTAGTTAGTTTTGTGATAGCTGGAGTGTGAGGAGCCCTCACCCCGATCTGCATACAGTGGGCCCAAGGTCATGCCCAAGACCCGAAAGTCTCATCCCTACGTGGTCTTCTGAGCTGTGCAAGGCCAGCTTCCCTCAACCCACTCCAAAGTCCTCAGCCACCCCCCTCCACCCAGCAAGTCCTGTCTTCAGGCCAGCAAGCATCATGCTGACACCACGTCCACGAGGAAGGGGGAATACCAAGGAGAGGTGACTCAGGACAGCTCCCCAGCTGCTCAAGGACAGGAGATGTCCGGTCTCTCATCAGGTCCTCTGCATTCTTCAGCGCTGGCTGGAGCCAGAGCCCCTGCAACGTAAGCCAAGACGTTGCTGGAGATGCCTACAGCATCTTTTATTCGTAAATCCAGAGAGTGCAATGCGTATGATAAAATGGAAAACAGTCACCATTGGATTCATTCATTCATTCACCCATTCAGAGAGGAATTTTCCATTTCTTTGCAAATGAGTAAAAGGTACAGGCTGGGTGGCCCTGGATGGTATCTGATTAATGAAAGTCAGATTTGAATAAAAATGTGTCAGTTCTCAAATGCCAGGCTATTTACTGCTTTGGACGGTATTCAGAGGGGAGTCACTGAAAGTTTATAATGAGAAGGGAAACAAACACGATTTTCTCGTTCCTGATGCTTTCCCATGGGCAAGAACAGTTTGCCTGGATTCAGCAAAGCCTGTCTTCTTCTTCTGCATGATCCATAGGGGGGTTTTGAAAACCAGGGTGCTGGCCACAGGGTACAGGGCCCTTTATCCACTGGGACCTGTCTTCCTGGTCCTTCAGCGACCTGTGGCAGGGCCTCTCTGGCTGTCTGCCCAGTGTCCCATGGTAGCAGACCCAGAGGCAGGGGCAGAGCAGCCAGGGGAGGGCTGGCATTTCTGAACCTCTGCCACACAGGGTCAGGGGCCCTCCCTCCAGGCGCCACCTGTATGAGAAATGGATCCACAGATCAGCAGCCAGAACTGGCACACCCAACACAATCACCTCCGCAGCGGGAGATGACCTACACCAGTAAATAAGTCAACCGCTCTTCCTGGGAGCCCCCATGTCCAAGTGTGCATGAACTACGCCGTGGAGGGTCTTACCTAAGCTGAATTAGCAAAGTGACAGGCCGCACGGGAGAAGTCCCGGAAGCAGTGAAGGATTGCTTGGCTGCTGAGTGGGCTGGAAGGAGGGACTTTGGGAGGAGGTGGGGCTGGAGCTGGGACTTGCAGGAGAACCGGAATGACATGAGGAACCAGAAGATGGGAGGGTGCTCTGGGCAGGGGGAGAAAAGGGGAGAGAAGACAACATAAGCAAGTTATGTTAAGGAGAAGTGACCACCCAGCATGGCGGGGGCTGGGGCTGTTTTGGGGGGGTGGTAGGGAATGAGGTGGTGAAAGCAGGTTTAAACCACCTTTGGGTGTTCCTGGAAGTCAGGCTAAGGGTTTCCATGGAAAGTTTTTGGTAAGGAGGGTCAGACTCAATTAGATGCTATTGATTTAAGAATTTGGCATGTGCCAGGGAATGTGTTAGGAACTGGGGCTTCACCCATGATTGAGATAAGGTCTCTGCCTTTAGAGACTTCCTAATTTGGGGGACATGACGCATAAGAAGCAGGAATTTTGGTCTAATGTGAAAAGGGTTGTGGTGGAAATACACACAGGTCGCTGCTTAGGGACGAGACACGATGGCTTATTGTGTAGAGCACAGGGAGTACTGTGGGGAGAAGCACGCGGTGAAACCCTTCACCTTGTCCTAAGAGTGAGAGGGACTAGAGGATGAGCCCCAAGCCTGGGAGTGGCGGGGAGGGTGTGAGAGAGCTTCCGGGGGTAGATCAGCATGGGGAACCTTTTCCTGTTGGAAGCCGCATTCATTTAGCTATAATCAAATAAGGCCACATTCAAGAAACTTCAATTAGATATGCTTAACAATATACATTATTTTGTGAAAATCTAACTAGTACGTACTATTAAGTACTAGTACTTAATAATTTCAAAAAATAAAAACTGTTAATTGTAAGGTTAACTAACCTTTTAATGACTTTGTTGTGTCTGCCTTTTGTTGGAAAGCGTTTGGATATGTGGTTGCAGCATGGAGGTCCCCAGTCTCAGTTGATTCTCTAGGTCTGTGGTCCCCAACCCCTGGGTCGCTCTGTGGCCCGTTAGGAACCGGGCCTCACAGCAGGAGGTGAACGGAGGGCAGGCGAGCGAAGCTTCATCTGTATTTACAGCCACTCCCCGTCACCCGCATCACCGCCTGAGCTCCGCCTCCTGTCAGATCAGCAGCGACTGTGGAAAGGCTGTACTTAAGGACCCAGAAGGCCACATGTGGCCTTAAGGCCCCAGGTTCCCCACCCATGAACGGCCAGGAACAGATTGGGCGGTAGTCGTCAATCAAGGTGGATGAGTTGGCAGCCATCTGACTCAGGGCAGGGCAGGAAGGTTCTGGGACATGAAGACATCCATTGGCTTGGCACGTGGTGGGACAAGCTGGAACCTGGAAGGAACAAGATCAACGAAAACAGGGCCAGGCTCCCTCACTGCCCGGCTCTTGGGTGGTCAAGAGTGGCCAGCGGAAAGGGACACTCCTGCCGCAGCAAGCTCTTCTCTTTCAAATCAGTCTGTTCATCCTCTCTGCTGTAAAGAAAGAAGAAAATTCCCCTCAACCTCCCAAAGACCCCCCCCCACTACTAACCCTTTGAAAGTATTTCTGTGAGACCATTTTTCCTGCATCTATTTTTTGTTTGGTTTTAACATTGTTCTAATCATACTGTGTTACAATTTTGTACCCTGCTGCCTTTAACATTCTAGTGTGTATATTTTTCTGCATGTTAAATTTATCCTGGCTATGACAAATGTTCATATTTTCATATATAGTTACACGAAGAGGCTCACTTCACTGCTTTTTTTCTTCCTTTACAGCAAACTTTGAAAATGTCCCTCCCTCCCTCCCTTCCTTTTTCTTCTCCTTTCTGTTCCCTCCTTACTGCCCACCTTCCTTTCCAGAGTCATGAATGGACGTCTCCTTCAAATCAGCAAGTGTCCTTTTAAGACATATGCCAGCGAATCCCTCTAAGGCCTAAGCTTCCAGAAGTTTTGAGGCATGTGCTGGTAAGAAGAAAGGTTTCTGGTGACGGGGGGGGGGGGGGTGTGTCTCACTCCGAGAGGCGGGGGCTGGTCACCCCAAACCAGGGACAGTTGGCAAGATGAGGAAGAGAAGAAGGTGAGACTGAGTCAAGGCAGGTCAAGGTCTTTCCTGGATTTCTCAAGACATAGAGCCTCAGAAAGAGGGAAATATAATAACACATCCCATTTAGAGAGGGGAAAAAAGCATGGTCTGCCCCCCACACCACTGGCGCACGCTTGGAAATTGTTTTAATATTACAGAATGTTCACAGCGATGTTTTCGTAAGAACTGGTGTGCCCTTCCTTTGCTTCCTCCCTAATAGGTAGTATACACAAGCCTCTCTCCCCGCTCCCTCTCGTTCACACACACACACACACACACACACACACACACACACACACACACACGGTCTGTGCCTCCGTCTCTCAAACACACTGTCATTCTCTCTCTTTCTGTCTCTGTGTTTGTGTGTGTCTCTCTCTGTCTCTGTCTCACTCTCCTTTAACCCAATGAAATGCTCAAAGGAGCCTTTGTTCGGTAATCATGATACCAAGCTTCCTTTGCCCCATATGCCCGCCACCGTCCCCAGCTCTGGCGTGTGTATTCTTCACGACATTGCCGAGAGGTAGGCACTATCGTTACGCACAGAGAGGATACCTCGCTGTGTGCAGTTACACAACCAGTAAGTGTCAGAGCCTGGATTTAAACTCAGGGCACCTCCCCCCAAAGCCCATTCTCTTCACTACTAGGCCACACTCCTATTTCTCTATGTCATGTTGTTTATACTTCCCAGTTGGCAAATAGAGGCTAGCATTCCGGTGGGATTATTGCAGAGACGCATGTGATCTTGATCTTCAAAGCTCTCTCAGCTTGAATGTGGATGATGTGCTAAGGTCTCCAGATTTTCTGAAGTTCAATTTTTGGGTGACTGCTTTATCAGGCCAGGCATGGAGCAATCCAGGTAAACTCCTTGCCTTTTCCCGAGCCGTGTGGAGAGCAGGTAGGCCCGGCCTTAGAGATGCCAAGGCTTTGTGTTCTTCTGACCTTCACGGTCTAGGGCTTTGGAGTAAGGACTGTGTGTTCCACTGGCCTCATCCCATTAGAGCGAGCTGCCTGGGCCTGGTGCGTTGGATAAGTCCATCCTCCCACCCCAGTGCGTCCGCCCCTGTCTCTTTATTGACAAGCAGAGCAGGAAGCTTATAAAGAGCTCTGTTGGGAAGAAGAAATCACCAGAGTTGATTTCTAAAGACCCTGTCTGTGCGGTCACCTTCTGCAAGACTCACGAGCAACTTTCACTCAGCGGAGCAGCCGGGCCTGGAGTCCACTCACCCCACTAGCCACACGCTTCCTGCTCCAAACGTCAAGGTTTTCATTTGGCCCTCGTATAATGAGCTGTATAAAATTAAAAACAGCTAAATACCACCTTATTTACAGTAATTTTCTATTTTCTGTAGTCGTCACTGAAACCCCTGCTTAACAACGCCAGCTTCCAGATCATGCCAAGCACCACTCAGAAGCCCAATCAACGGCAACCACCGACCGCAACGTAAACCAGCGTGAGGACCCGAGAGCGCCCTCGCTCCCACCCTGTCCTCAGCCCAGCCTGGTTTTTCCATCACATGCTTTTTAGGCGACAGGGAGCTGAGGCAGGGGGAACATTCAGTTCCCCTTTCAAAGCCTGGGGGCACTTAAAAATATCTTCGAGTAAGCAACCAGGGTTCAGAGGAACACTGACTTACACTTGCAGGAGACTGGTGTTGGAAGCCAGGCTCCCGAATGACCTCAAACCTGGACTTGGGCTTGGCCTGGGCAGCCTGTGAGTACCCTTTGCAGACGGCTCCTGCTGCACCCTGTTGCATCTCCATCTGGGCAAACAATCTTGCAACAACAGCCCTGGCTCTTCTTAAGGCCATTTGTGATGGACCGAAGTGTGTCCCCTCCACCCTCTGAAATTCATTTATTGAACTCTTAACCCCTAGTGTACCTCAGAACGTGACTATATTTAGAAATAGTGCCTTTAAGAGGTCATTAAGTTTAAGTTTAAATAAGGTCATACGGGTGGGTCCTAAGTCAATATGACTGGTGTCCTTATACGAAGAGAAAGAGACACCAAGAACTAGTGCTCTCTCCGCAGGCACAGAGGAAAGGCCACGTGAGGACAGTGAGAAGATGCCATCTGCACACCAAGAAGAGAGTCCTTGGGAGAAACCAAGCCTGTCAACACCTCGATCTTGGACTTTCAGCCTCCAGAACTGTTAGAAAATAAACTACTGTAGTTTAATGCACCCAGTCTGCTATATTTTGTTATGGCAGCCCGAGCACTAAGACACCATCCATGCGATTTCTTCTTGTATGACAAAGTCTTAACGTGAGACATGAATGAATTGCTCCTAGGAGAAATGCAGGGTTAGGTTCCTACAATTGACGAATTGGTCATCAATCTACCCAGAAACTTAAAAATATTCTTGAGTTATGGGAAGACTTAAATCCTCCATACTTGGCCCTCCCTGGCTGCTCTTTCTTATTGGCAAAATATCTTTGCGATTGGAATATTCAAGAAGTTAACCAAAACCATCTTAATGTACTCTCTGTCTCCTATTCCTCACGTGCCCAGTACTCTTAATCACTCTCATTCCTCAACCTCTGGCCCCTCCCTTCTGCAAGTCCACTCGTTTGGCAGGTGTTTACCGAGGGCTTGTCTGGGTGACCACTGCTGTAGGCATTGCAGGTACAGGAACAAAGAAGACAGATAAGGCACATGCTCTCACGTGGCTTCCACCCCAGCAGGGGAAAACAGAAGTAAAAATTAATAAATAAACAAGGACTATGTCAGATAGCGAAAAGCTATCCAGGAATTTTTGATACAGCAATGTGATGATGACTGAGAGTGTGCTTTGACTGGGCAGACAGGAAGTCTGTCCTCTTCACAGACTAGAAACATTCTACCCCCAGCCCCCTCTCTCCATCACCATTGCTACCGCTGAGTCCAAGCCCCTGGGCTGGGCTCCAGCCAAAGCTTTCCAACTGGTCTCTCTGCCATCTCATTTGCCCCACTGCAATCCATTTTTCTACATAGCAACCAGTGAAATATTTCAAAAATATAGATGATTCTCATTATTCACAGTAGTTACATTCTATGAAGTCTCTTCGAACACTGAATTAGAGAACACGGAAGTATTGCTCCCAGGAGAAATGCAGGGTTAGGTTCCTACAAGCCTCTGATCGCCCATTAGTACATAACCTTGTGTTATGTGTGTTTCCGTGTGAAGACACCTGATTTGATATGCATTGCTGATTCATTAACACTGAACTCATGGCCCAAAACACTATAACTCATGGCTAAGTGAAGCATATCTAACACACATATTTTCTACATAAGGCACTTCACAGCCTTTTTGCACTTGGGAATACTAGACAGCACTTCAGCCCTAGGCTATGGGTGGGGCATGGAAAGTAGACATTTTAAATAGCAAAGTCACCAACAAAGAGTCAAAGAAAGCAAAAAAATGCAAAAAGTAGACCACAAAAAGGACTCTTGTTTACAGCATGAAAGCTAAAGCAAGAAGGCAGAGTGTTGTCTTGTTTGACCTCAGCTGGGAACCCATGCATCAGGTGACTCACATTCTTTTCTTTGCTCATGTCCATGAATTGAGCACAAAATTGCTGCCCAGTATTGATTTTGAGGTCATACACATACATTCCTATGGTTTGAATGCATCTCCTCCAAAATTCAGGTGTTGCCAACGTGATAGCATTAAGAGATGGGGCCTCTAAGAGGTGATTAGGCCATGTGAGCTCCTCCCTCCTGGGATTAAAGCCCTTATAAAAGAGAATTCACACAGGGTTAGCTCACTTGCCCTTCACCCTCACCATGTGAAGACACAGAATTCCTTCCTTCTGGAGGACACAGCAACAAGACACCACCTTGGAAGCAGAGAACAACCCTCACCAGACAACCAAACATGCTGGTGTCTTGATCTTGGACTTCTCAGTCTCCAGAACCATGAGAAAATAGATTTCTCTTCTTTATAAATTACACAGTCTCAGCTCTTTTGTTTTAGCAGCACAAATGGACTAATACACACACACAGTCACACACACGTCTTCCTCATTTCCTCTTTCTTTCCTTGCGAAAGAAAACTTTCCCAAGTTTTGGTCATTATCTCAGGAACATTACTTTTATTATTCCATTGTTGAGCTACAAATGCTTAATAGCAGCTCATATGCCTGGGAATAACAGACTCAGGGTAGCAAACACTCAATATCTTTTAAGTAAATGACTGAATGCATTAGTAAAATTTCAAATGTTGTTTTTCTTTAAATTAGAAGCTGTTTCTTTGCATTGAAATATCCAGCCACTAGTACAATACCCAGTTGTGGCTATCTAAGTTATGCTTAATGAATGAACGAATGGTCATACATTTTAAATATTTAAGTAGACATAATAAGAATAAAGTTTACTAACTCTAAAGCCTTTGAAAGTACCTCGATACTCTCTTCAAAGTCTTTACAAAATTATTTATCAACCTCTTAATCTATAAGTAAACCTACTCTACCTCTATTTTTTGAAAAATTACGTCTTCAATATTTTCTTTTTTATTTTTGTGATTATGAAAAGATTTACTCAATTCTATTTATTGCCAATATAGGATATTTCTGCTATATGATAATTTAATATGATTTTTATAGACTGGGAACTTAACCTTTACCTATTTACAATATTGTGTTTCTGAGAAAAATATATTCCAAGGTCCAAAGCATAGACTCTGTCTATTGCTTTCTGAAAGTGCAATTCATTTAATAATTTGGGTACTTAACTGGATTTTGTTTTTTCTCAAATACATGGCATAACCCTTTTTCTCAAGATAGATCATGGGTATCAAACTTCAGTATGATTTTCTTTCATTTTAAGTCAATTTTTTTTTTGTCTTCCAAATTACCTACCTCTACAGCTGTTCTTTTATACACGTTGAATACAGATTTAATTATTGTCATATGCAGTGAGTCTCTGCCTTTTATCAAGTTTCATTCCTGGATAGTTTATGACACAGTGAATTGACTTAAAGTAGATTATATTTTACCTTAGGAACAACAATATAATTGAGAGTTTTATTCTAGTTTTCACATCAACTGAATTTTAGATATGACCATCATATGTCACAAAATCAAAAACATAACAGTTTTAAACTCCTATAATCAATTACAAGAGTAAAATTAATGCCCAAACTATTTAAAATGAGATTAAGTCAATTATATATATTGTGTAATAAAAGAGGCTGTGTATCTATAAAATATAAAATTTTTCTATTTCTTCACCCTCTTCTGTGATAGTACATTCTACACACTGGAACTGGATTAACCTCCTTACTAGATGAAACTCCAAGTTCACGAACCTTCAATAGTTCACCCTTGCTCGTAGGATCCAGTGGGAACCCTTCAGCATGGAAGTTCTCCTTGCGAGAAGCCTCAGCTCCCTCTGCCCCTCTCCCACCCCTTCCCAGCACCAGCCCACTGCTCAGCAAACTGGGTAGCAGCTCTTGGTCTCTCACACACATCACTGTCTTTTCCTGACTTAGTGTCTTTGTTCTCTATACCTGTTCATCTCTTGACCACCAAGCAGATCTTGCTCCTCCATCACGGTTTTGCCCATGGCCCTCCACCTCTCAGGCCTCACACTCTGTCCCTCCAGGGAAAAGAACTCACCCTGCCCAGCGCCAGAGCACAGATCCAGCAGGTCCTCTTGCCCATGCTGGGTTGTGCGATCCATGCTGGACAGCTTAATCCATCTACCACCGTGCTTCAGCAAAGAAAAGGGAGAGAAACCCAATTTGCTGAGGACCTACCAAGTGTCAGGCACCGTGCTTGGCATTTTTATGCATGTTTTCTCATTTAATCCTTACACGAACCTTACGGGGTAGGTATTAGCGTCTTCCTTTTAATAACTGAGAATACAGAGGATAAAGAACTTGTTTAAGTAGCTCAGCTAAGAAGTGATGGGCCAGAATGTAAATCTGCAATGTACACAGGAAGGATATAAAACTAGAAATCAGGAGATCTCCAATTCAATTAACCTCTTTGAATCTCATTTTTTCTCATTAACGAAGAGGGCTAACAACACCCACCTCATGGAAATGTGGAAATTAACTGGGCACGTACTTTTGGAAGGCTTTTACCAGCTGTGGAGGTTTCCTTTCTCATGGTGCCAAGCATGCTCCAATGCTCAATAAGTATTTGCTGCTAGGTTGACGTCTTAAGAGCTGCAATATCTGTTAGTCTCACATGCCATGTCTCCCTGCTCTTAGTTAGCCACAATAATATTCATGTGTCCAACTTTGAAAAAGAAATCATGCCATGATTGGCTGAGAACCATTTCCTGGTCCAGAGTGGTCAGATAGTCAACACTCACCTGCACACATTTGCAAATATTGCTTAATGTGCTCAGGAGAACTCCTCCCAGTGTTTTGTAATCTGGGTTCGGTAGTGCTAACGAGCAACTAATGTGTAAAGTCAGTTTGCTTCTCCCCCTTGAAAGATAACGTTGGTCAGTAATCATTGCTGTGTCTCCTACTTGGAGTGCTCACTTAAATGGCCTGAAAACCCTTGATAGGGGGTGATAACAGCCTTTTCTCCCCAGATCAAGCTACCTAAGGAAAGCAGTATCGGTCTGATGCTAAGTCACTTGTTTTTGCTAAGAGTCCTGTTCCTTTGCATGATAATGGTAACTGCGTTTTTGGCTTCTAACTTATCTATCCACACTTTCTGAATATTAGCACTCTGGATTTGGCATCTTTTATGGTCTGAGTTTCTGTTATTTATTCAGGTGTTCAGGTTCCTCTTTCTCCTTGACTTTCCTTTTATGATTACCCAGGTTGGTTCCTTGCAAGCCCGCCTCAATCTACTCTCATCACAATATCATTTTGACCATCAGCTTTCTTGTTTCATCTTACAGAAATTTCCCCAGTCGTCCCTTGTCCTGTCATAATTAGAATTCTTATCCCTGAACTCCTAGAATTAGAATTTGCCCCGATCCATAATTTCTTTCCTGCTTGTAAATTTCTTTTCATCTCAGTAGTAAAATTAGTAACTCTTTGCATTTCTTAATTGTAGTTTCAACAGCTTGGATTCTTTTTGTAGGAAACTTGCTTACTCTTTGGAGCTCCTTTTCCACCACAACTAGCTGTACGAAATGCAAAGTTATTTTTGTGATGGAGTGGTCCATAAAAATAGGGTACTCACAGCACTTTTGTACATAAAGTCAACAACTTCTAGATATAGGTTTTATTTCTCTACCATACATTCCTGCTCTATATGATTACCCGGCAA